TTTTGGTAGTTTATCCGAGTCCTCTAGACTTGGCTAGCGAAGGCACCCCTGTTGCAACGCACTTTGAAAAATTACGCACTTTGAACAAAATTTTCAAAGTGCGTTAAACTTGGGACCAATTAACGCACTTTGAAAAAATAAAAGGATGATGTGACATAACTGTTATCTGGGGCCCCTTTTTCCACGACGAATTATATTTAATCTACAACGATATTGTTAGTTTTCAAACATGAGTGAATAAATACGACTCCTTTTGAATAGTTTCAATAGTTCAGACACATTTTCGTTATAAGGAATACTGCATTATCTTTGATTTTTTAGACCCTATCACAGCTGAATTCGGCCAGGTTTGTGAGAATATTATCTTTCATGGCAAGAGAATGGGCGGGTCTATTGTTATTATTTCGCACAATAATCCGATGACAACAACAAAACATGGATATGCGTGTCCTGTTGTCCTTTTCTAATTTCAAACTTTTATAATGACCTTATATGGCTATTGTTATTATTTCGCACTTAGTCATTGTCCAATCCGATGACAACAACAAAACATGCTGGTTTACTACGTGTACATTTTACCGCAGACACGTGGTTTAAGTAAATTTACCTGTTGTCCTTTTCTACATTTCAAACTTTTATAATGGTCAGCCAATGCTGTTTATACTTAAAAATACACATGGATTTTCAGCATTTACGGTTTTAAGGACAAGAAATTCACTTGTATTCACCGATACTCGGGAATACGTGTAGACCTAGCGAATTGCTCACCAAACACGCTACAAAACTTAAATGTAGGCCTATATCATGTATATTCTATCAGTTGTTTGTAACTGTATATAAATTTTACAGTGGCCTCGGAAATGGTACGTATGTAGAAACGTGTCTAATCTGCCACTCAAATGCATTAAAAATTATCGGAAAGCAGTAAAATCCCAAGCAAGTTTCAATAGTATTTTTGTGTAACTCACTCGTAACGAATTTCATTTAAACCCCTGTCACACCGGGGCTGCGTCCTCACGGCGACTGCATGGCGTCCTCATAAAATGCAAAACGCCGAGGTGATCGCAGTAAACTTACTGAATGCTGAGGGTCGCGTAGGGTCTCCTAGTCACTTTGGGCATGCACAAGTACGCGCCGTGTGATCGCGGTCTGACAAGAACGCAGTAGAAACGTAGTATGATCGCCGTAGCAGCGCGGTGAGATCCCCAACAACGTAGTGGGAGCTCCGTACGAACGCCGTGAAGACGCACATGATTGCGGCACGAACGCAGTGATAGAAGACTGCGCTTCCACGGAGACCTCACGGAGATGTCGCGGAGTCCTTGGAGATGTCACTGTGTTTCTATCGCGTTTTTACGGCGCTTCTAATGAGATTTAACGGCTTGTGATTTTTTCGACAGCGATTACACGGCTGTTCTGTTGTTTCTTTAAATTTAAAATTTTGTTTACGTTCATAATAAAATCAAAGAAAATTTAACAACACATCTGAACCGATAAAATTGAGAAAAAAAGGAGTTTAACCAAAAAAGTATTTATTTAATAATTTTAGTACTAAATTATTTAAATAGAACATTTTTAATTATTAAGAATTTTTCTTGGCATGATAAGAAGTCTTTTCATCGTGTAACTTGAATCTTTAAACAAAAATGTTTCACATTCCTTCTGAATATATATTGAGTTTGTGAACGTATTGTGAACGCAGCCAGCGCAGTGAGAACGCCGTGAACACGAGGTGAAAACTCCGCGGAAGCGCAGTCAATCGCCGATTTTAGAATGCCGTGAGATCTCCATAGAAAAAACGCCGTGTGATCTTCACATTGTGAAAATTTTACATTTCCTATAGGTATTCCACGGCGATTTTAAAAATTTAACAACGCCGTAACGACTCCGTGTGAACGCAGGTCGGTGTGACAGGGCCTTTAGCTGATTGGTCAGTTATAGAAAGTATCGCCTGTGCCTCGATTAACATATGAATTCATTCTTGCGTCAGAAAATCTAGTTCCGTCGATTTGTTTATAATGGGAAAGGCCAACTAGATTTTACAAATTTTTAAAAAATATCATGTGAGCGCAGTTAGGTACAATTTTCTCATTTCACATATAGGTAGATTTCAATAAAATACAGTGACCAGCCAAAGGAGAAAATTGTACCTATCTGCGCTCGTATATTTTAAGGGCTTCAAAGAGTGGGGCGGGGTTAAAATGCAATGGGAATTGAATGTAAACATGATACCCCTACCCCAATAAAAGATTTATATCTTTCAAATCACGTTGCTATTTTTGTTAAAAATAGTATTCTATAAAAGTATACATATCAGTAATTAGTTACACACAAAAATTTGAGTAAAATTCTGACATTTAATTTTTTGTCAGTATACGAGGGGCCGCAAGTCACCTCATCCTTTCTTTTCAAAGTGCGTTAATATCGACCATATTAACGCACTTTGAAAAAACTGTATGGTCGATACGATATTCCTGCAAATCTTAGGGATGATAAATAATTGAACCTTTTGGATAACTGTTCGGTGATAAGGTCACTTCAGGATGTGAAAGTGAGCGATTTTGATTTTTCCATACTTTGAAAATTCTTTCTCTCTTAAATGTTTTATAATTGTACTTAATTTTTTCCAGTTTGCATGCATTTTATGTAAACTAAAATTTATATATCGAAAGTTTTCAACGTCATACTACATGTAGTTATGCAAATACATATTTTGGTATAGCATAGGCATCGGGTACCGGATGCTTAGGCACACGAATGTTTTACAAAGATTCAGTTACATAATAGAGACATTGAAAATTGGGTCTTACTTTCGGGGGGGGGGGGGGGGCAACGTTCAATTTGCTACCCACGGCTATGTAAAAGAAGAGTTGGGCTGAGTGATTCTACTCGTCTTCTCCTTGTTCTCAATGAGGTTAAATCAATTCACGTAAATTAAAAATTTTCGAAAGATATAAGTATTACAAATTAATTCTCTCAATTACATAAAATCGAAGTCTAGATTTTTTGTTTAATACTCTACATATTTTTTTCAAAGTGCGTTAAATTTCCCCATGGTAAAAAAATGTTTATGTACACTCTTAGTTAACGCAATTTGAATTTTTTTTTTTTCAAAGTGCGTTGAGTGTGTCCCAAATTTAACGCACTTTGAACAAACTTTCAAAGTGCGTTGATTTTGTCCCAATTTTAACACATTTTGAGAAAAAAAAAATTAAAAGTGCGTAATTTTTTCAAAGTGCGTTGCCACACACCCCTTTGCTTTTTTTTGTAATAGTTGAAAGAGAAGAGAAGATCATGAGCAGAGAAGAAGACCCGACCCCTCCGTTTTCTGGGAAGAGTATTTTTATATAGATTTTTTTCTCTCCATCAACTCCCTTATTGCTATAAGGTATTTTATATTAGGATTTAGACAATGTAGACATTTAATGAGTTTTTTGTTCCTTGTCATATTAGTCTGTAAAGATACCAAATATCCCCACCCACACACAATTTAATTTGTTTTTCAAGGAGGATGTTTAAAAACCTTGCAAACAATTTATCCGGATAAGGAGAGGGTTTTTTTTGGGGGGGGTGGTTGTTTATTTGTTTGCTTGTTTGTTTGTTTTTTGTATTTTTTTTTTTTGTCTCTCGATGTTTGTGAATAATAATCCGCATTTTATGATAACCACTTGGAAATATTTCACAAATCTTAAGTGATTGAATAATTATGATACAAAGTTAAAAAAAATATGACGATTGTCTATTTGCATAATTTGGGAAGAGAGAATCTATAAGATAAGGTAAGATTTATTAATACCAATTTTGGGCCCATCAGGGCATACAAGTAAAAATAAAAGCATACAAGAAGAATTTCAAAATTGATAGTAGCAACTAACAAAAGATTAATGATGATACAGCGGTTGGGGATTACAACATATATAATCGACATACTGTACATATAAAGCTTTTTCACTAGAGTATAAACATTATTACTCTTTTGCATTTATTTGTTTCTTTTTTTAACATTGCATGATGCGCTATTTCTATTTTAAAGATATTGATTAAAAAATTACCCAGCTTGATAAGCAACATGTCATTTTCATTAGACTTAATCCATAAAAATTTTTCTTTATTTGTTAATGTATAGACATTTTTATTACTTATAGCAATAACCTTAAAAAAGTCATCTCTATCATGTTTATATAATGGACATTCAATCAGTGAGTCTATATATTCTGCAATTCCATGTATACCCCCCCCCCTTCTGTTTTCACCCGGATAATAATTAAAAATAGTTTATATAAATTTGGCACAAATATTGATCTATTTTGCAAAAAAAAAAAAAAATAAATAAATAAATAAATAATAATGATACTTCTAATAATAAAAACAAGTAGAGAAACATACCCGAAGTTTGCCCATACTTTAGGTTAAAGAAAAACACACAATCTGTTCAGTTAAATACATTGCTTTCAAATTGCTATATTTAGAAAAGGGGATTTTAGAGCACAAGGTTGAAAGAACACGCAGTTTCATCGATTTGACGATGAAACAGCCGGGTTTTATGGGACACAAAGGAATAATAATCAAATGCATTCAGTCCTCTTACAACATGTATTCTTATATAAATATTTAATATATTGATGAACATTTCAATTAAGTTGTCTTTATGCTATTTATGTACCATTGTTTAATGTACAATATTTTAAGTTTTCCCGTGTGTCACTTTTTTCAAAATGTCAATTTATTTTAGTTCAAACAAGTGCATTTGTCCAGTTATTCTATCTGGAAAAATCTGGTGAAAACTGCAATGTCCGTATGTATCATGTACTCTATTTATAGAACAGGGGAAATCCAAAATGTAATTTGTTTGTACAATAATCTCCTTACATTAATAATTAATGGCTATGAGTAATTTTACTATGTTAATAAAACATGGCAAGAGAAATGAAACAAAATTATCATTATCATATCATCTGTACACCTGTGAATTCTTAAAGCTTTCGGTATTTTTGTAAAATTGAGAAACATTTGTAATGCACGGAACCCTTAACAATGGGACCCGACTATTAGAAATGTTCTTTGATATCCGGTCTAAGCTGACCGTATGATGAAGGTAAAAAACTTAACGTTAATTAATAGAAATTTAGTTTTGTGCTAATCTCTGAGCTGTAGAATTTTAGGTTACCGTTATGATAAGATGATATGAATACAGAGCAAGAATGTGAATAGTAGACTAAGTGATTCAGTTCATAAATAATTGCCATGTAGACACTAAGACAGTTTCAGTCTAAATAGGGTACGCCCCCTTTTTTTGAAAACACCCACCAAATGCAAAACTGGTGTCAAATTTTCATTTACTTTCATAACCATGTTTACATTCTTTGGTTCGAATGTTGTTCTGGATTGATCATTATGCTTTGAACAATATTTAACTAGCAACATGTATTTATTTTGTAAAATAGATTGAACATAAAATATATATGTAAACATTGATAATGATAGACTAGCATATTTCATCAGTTAACAGGAAATCACTGTTTTTAGGTCTACAACGCAATGTGATTTGTTTTGTGTGACTGTGTTTGTACCATTTGCATGTGTTTTTGTTTTGTTTGTTTGATTTTTGTTTAACATCGGATGTGATTGATCAAATTGTCAGGAGCCAGAAAATGATTCGATCCAAGATGTTTCTTCCCCAATATCATCGAATTCAGACCTGACACAAACCAAGGAACAAGATTATAATGGCGTATCTGAGGATTCAGGCTTGTCCAGTTCTCCCACCCTAGGTCCATTCCAACCCCTTTACTCTGTCAAAGTACCTAATGCTGTAAAAAATGGAGAGGCTCTGCAGTTTACTATCTGTGTATCAAAGGTAATGAGAAGTATCAAATGGATCTGAAAAAAGATTTTAACAGTTTGAGTATATTGGGGATCTGACAATAACTATATATATATATATATTCTTGATTGAGTAAACTTGATCTAGTGCATGGTGTAAACAGGTAAAGGGAAGGAGTTTTGTATTTAACACCCCCACAAATTGGATGTCAGAAAATTGATTTTGAAATTCCAACTTAGGATCAAACTTTTTGAAGGATGTTCTGTTGTCATAGAGAGCAGAGGCTTAAATTTTCAATGCATTTATGTAATTCCTTCCTCATAACCCTGCAGTTTAATTACATATATATACATACGTGTATGCATTTCAATCTTAGTTACAAATGTACATGGATAGTATGTTAAGATATGTTCTAAATATCTTCTACAGAAATCCTTAGATATGTTATTTTTTTGCATTCACTTCATGATTATGACAACTTTGTATAACATAGGTTGATAATGATGAGCAGGAGGAAGTAGTCCGTGAGTATGAGGACTTAGAATGGCTACAGCATTGCCTGATGACCGAGGATGCAGTTGTGGGATGCATTGTAAGTTTATCAGAAATTGTCATTCTTTTACAAAAAAATTGTTAAACTTGATATGTTCTCTTCATAACACGTTTGTATCTCTGAATAATACATTTAAATATTTCCTGGCTCTCACTTGAATTCTTCCTGTTATAGGATAAGCAGGGTAGTAACAAAGGAAGTTGTACTTATCTCTAAATGAAATTTGCTGACATACTGATTCATGAATTCCACCCCTTTAGATCCCTCCCCTTCCTGCAAAGCCAGAATATGATGCCAAGGCTGCAGAGTCCAAAACAAAGAAACAGCTAGGCAGTGATGCCAATGTTATCATGGCTGACGAGTTTCACAAAGACTGCAGGAATGTAGAAAGGTTGGAGAGGAAAACTTGGTTTATAATAATAAATTTGATCTTTAAAAAAAATCAAGTTTTCATTTTTGTTTTATTGCTCTATACTTCAAAGCATCAGCAGTAGCCTTTCAGTACCTCAGTACCTGAAAATTGTTAAAAGAGCTCTGTATACATAGCTGTATATTTTTTAATAGATACCTAAAAATGGTGATTTCCCATGAGAAGTTTGGAAAAAGTGAATTACTAAAGAAGTTTTTGTGTGAGAAAGAGGTATGCTTTGTTTATAATACAAGGGTAAATAATGCTCCCCGGAGCAATAATTGATTTGGTAATCAGCACTATCAGATGTAATACACCTTTATGTTTTATATTTGGCAGTCAATTTTGACAATAAATGTGCTTTAAAATGTTATTTTGAGGAATCTTTATTAGGTGTTGATTGTGAATTAACCAAGTGCAAAAGGTTCCTACAAACAAATTCTGTTCCAAGAAAGAACCAATAGATTTACTACATGTATAATTGCATTTATATTTTGGAAATAAAATTTAATTAGGTAGATTCTTTAGGTATTCTAAATATTGAAAACCTGAGGATATTGGTGACAGATTAATTGTAGGCAGCAGTGAGGACCAAACTGAAGAAGAGTTTGTTTATGCGAGTCTCCCAAGCAGTGGATGAGGCACGGAAAGGCCAACACAAGGCAAGTGTGACTATCATTAAAGCCAATAGAATGCAAGTGTGACTATTATTAAGGCCAACATAAGGTATGTGTGACTATCATTTAGTTTAACACAAGGCAAATGTGACTATCATTTATAAGACCACGACAAGGCAAGTGTGACTGTCATTAAGGCCAACACAAGGCAAGTGTGACTATCATTCAGGCCAACTCAGGGCAATTCTGACTATCATTAAGGCTAACACAAGGCAAGTATTTTCCATCATTAAGGCCAACTCAAGGCAAGTGTAACTATCATTAAGGCCAACACAAGGCAAGTCTTACTATCATTAAAGCCAACACAAGGCAAATCTGACTATCATTAAGGCCAAAAACAAGGCAAGTCTAACCATCATTTAGGCCAACACAAGGCAAGTCTGGCCATAATTAAGGTATTCAATCCCTAATAGGAACAAATTCATTGAAATTGAATATATAACAGATATGTAGGCATTGAATACTCAGTTTATTTAGACATGCTTCCCATATATTACTATAAGTATGTATAGTGGGATATGTCCTAATTTATGACCTTGAATTTTGGTAAGAGTTATCTCCCCTTTTTTTAATAAATAAAAAAAAAATCAATTAAAGAAAATTTAGCTGGTAAAAATATTGTTTTAAATTGTCGTTCTATTTTTAATGTTTCAATGCATCTTTCCACCGCAGGATTTTTTGATATTCAAATTTTTAGAATTTTTATTTTGAAAAAATGCTTTTCCCCATAGACTTCAATGTACAATCTTTGTTAATTAACTACTGCTTAATTAATGAGATTTTTGAAACTTTATCGCAGTCAATCCTTTTCTACTATAAAATGCTTTAATATAATATCAGAGTATTATTTACTTGACGGATATTTAAGGGTAGGGAATTTGGTCCCATTAGGGATGGAAATCCTTAAGGCCAACATATGGCAAGCGTAAATATCATTAGGGTCAACACAAGGAAAGTCTGACTATTATTAAGACCAACTCTAGGCAACTGTGACTATCTTTAAGGCCAACACAAGGCAAGTCTGACTATCATGATTATGCCAACACATGGCAAGTCTGACTATCATTAATACCATCATTAATAATGAATAAACAATGTCATGTTAGGGTTATTGTATAGAAAAAATGCATTGTTAGTACCTAGCATCAGGTTAAATTTATTTTTTGTTCTATAGGATGTAGATGAATACTTCCAGACACAGAGAGACTGGGCCACTAAATATGCAGCTTGTATGAAAGAGACTTCTCTGGTAAAATAATGGGTCAGAATTATATTGTTTCCAAATCACTGTGTTATTCTTTATTTATTAGCGTTACACATACTTCATAATATAAAATATGTCCACCTCGAAGGCATTTTTAATGGAACTGTTTTTTTAACAGAATTTCAACAAGATGCTGTTTGCACAAATGAGTAAGTATTTGAATATCACTTACAAATATAGGTATAAATGAGTAAAATCTGTTAAAAGTCTATCACTTTGAGAGCATTTCAATCTGAATTATACCGGGTATATTTTTCTAGGATTAGCCAACTGTTATGGTCACTTAATAACAGTCCTCAAGGAGACTGTTCCATTTACCGATGACTCCCAGAAAGAGATGAACAGGTTTCCTTTTCTCTTATTTTTATACCAAAATTACATTAAGTATAAAATATCACCTGTCAAATAATATGAAACATTGGTGATAGCATTTGGATTTTGATTTCCAGATATCAGTTGATTCTTGGTGAAGGTGCAGAAAATGTCAAGGTGATTATTTTACTCCTTTTAAAAAGCCTAGCTTTTATTACATGTAGTACCAAAAGCACATCTTTGAGGAAAAGGATACACTTTACATGCATGGCTGAATTCTCCTACTGTAAAACTTCTTTTTAAATATTTATGTTTGGGATATCTTCATGTGATTTATTACAACAATTAAATGTACTGGGTTTTGTTGTGTTTTTTTTCTCATTTCATTTGCAACAGCCCCCCCCCCCCTCTTTCCCCACCCTTCCACCTCTACAACCTTTCTCTTAAAATATAGCGCTGTCAGCTTGTTAAGTTGAAATTAGGTTTGAGAATTTTAATTGTACGTGTACCCAGTATTTATAATTAGATATATTTTAGATATTTATAAATAGATATAGATAGATTATAGCTTTGTTTTCTTCTGTATTTTAGCATGGCTTGGAAGTTATGTCTAGAAATGATGAAAAAAGTTTGGGAGTTCATCTCGACCTGTATGCCAAGTATATGGAAAGTGTAAAGGTATAAAATGCAATTAAGAAATAACAGATTTTTTTATACCCCTTTCACGAAATGAAATTTAAAAAAAGAAAAGACATCAGAAACAAAAACCTTAAGAATAAATACACTTCTATAGTCACAAAACTCCTCTCTACCCTATTTTGTAGGAGATGTTATTTAGGAGGACTTGTTTGCTGGTGACATATGAAGACGCCACCAAGTCTCTAGAGAAGGCCAAGCCAAACAAGAGAACAGCGGTAAGAATGATTCAATTCAATTCAAAATTATTGTTATTTAAGGACAGATGCTACAAACAAAAAAATGGATGCCTGGATTGGTATAGATTTTTTGGTCTAATTTCATTGATAATGATGTAAATAATAAATTTCTAAAATATAAAGAAATTGTAAACCTTCATGATGGTCAAAATTCTGCCTCACTGAAATGATCCTTATTAATCTATACAAGTACTTCTCACCTCAAATCCAATATCTGTGAAATTTTGAATAAAAAATTAAAACCTACGCGGAGAAACTTGTTCATTATACTCATTTAAACATGACTCAAGTTTCAAATTTTTTGAAAAAAGTTTCTTTGTATCATCTGTCCTTAAGTTAAAGTGACTAAGCTGATATTTAGAGAAAACTTCAAATTTCCTTTTTGTGTACTTTTTAGGCAGAAGAAGTTAAACTGACCACGGAGAAATCCTTTGAAGAATGCTCAGACACTGCCAGACGAGAGGTAAGGTTATATTTAACAGAAGATTTTGGTGATGTTATTGGCATTACAAATGTGCTTGTTACATGTATAAATATATACTGTAGAATCATCATTGTTAGTGAGGGACCAAGGTTCGTGGAATTCAAATTACATCCCCATGAACATTTATTTTGTTAACATATTGATTCATTGAACCATCGTTTTTACGAGTAAACCAAGAAAATACGTCCCAATGAACAGATCAAATTTTGCTTACCAATGAACATTGATCCCCACATATTAAAACGATTCCCAGTATCACAGCAAAAATTTAATCCTATTAAGCTTTTCCTTTGCTCATTTTTATGCTTCAAGACATTAGAAATTCAAATAGTGTCTATCTATATAAAATCTCTTGTAGTTAAAGTCCTTCAGACAGCAGAGACTGTTGGCTTTCGGGGAGTCGTTGTCTACGTTTGTGGAGGCGCAGATTAAGACGTCTAGAGACACCATCACTCTCCTGCTGCGGACACTCAGGTCAATCAAGTGTCCAGAGGACAGCAAGGCCACATCAGAATGATTCATCAACAATTTAGTTCTATTTAATATCAAAATAATTCTCCGAATAAAGTGTCCAGACAACAGCAAGGCCACAACAGAATGATTCATCAACGATTTAGTTCTATTTTGTATTAAAATGATTCTCCAAATTAAGTGTCCAGAGGACAGCAAGGCCACCATGGAATGATTCATCAACGATTTAGTTCTATTTAATATCAAAATGATTCTCCAAATAAAATGTCCAGACGATAGCAAGGCCACAGCAGAACGATTCATCAACGATTTAGTTCTATTTCATATTTAATTCTTCAAATAAAATATACAGAGGATAGCAATTCAGGCCACAGCAGAATGATTCATCAACGATTTAGTTCTATTAAGAGAAAAGATGATTTTCCAAAATCCCTGTGGTCAAATTCTTGTGCCTTCTGCTCACCTGTATCTGTTGATCACTTTCTGATAGTTAAGCCACGTTTATAGATAGCTATAAGTTGGAAAAAAATCTGTGTTGTTTAATTATTTACGAAAGAAAATATGTATAATGTACCAGCTCCTAAGTTTTTTTTGAGTTCTTACGAATTTTGAAGATATTTTTAATGAAATTTTTAAAGAAATTTTTTAGCACTTTTTCTTTAGAATTGAGCCTTAAAGGTAAATGGAAAAAAAATCTGTGATAACTGCTTTCTTCATATTTGTATCTTTTCTTTTAGAAATATACAATATTGACATTCCCTTTCGTCACATTTGTCAATTTAGAATACATACTACAGGTTAAAGATGTCTAATTATCATATGTGTATATTATACTAGTTTCTTTATAGCAATGAAGTGATTTTTTTTTTGTATGTGATTGTGATGCCAAAGGATATTAACATATTTTACATTCCTGCAAAAAATGTTTAGTCAAATAATGTGCAATAATATATTTTGTAATGAATGTTTATTACGTATTATAATGTATACAATGTAAAATATTTGCATGGGATATATAAAAAAAAATATCAAGACCTATCCTTTAGTTTTATCTTTGTAGCAGAGAAAACACGCATGACGGTTGATTACATGAAATCTGTCAATTTCACCGAGAATTACAGAATATAGTCACCGAAATTGGATTTCAGACTCAGTCTGTTGCTTTCTTTTACCAATACCTATTGCGGAATCATTTTAATTTATGTTGACAATCAAAATTTTACCGATTCATGAGGACATAATTTCGTTGGTAAGGCTAAACCTTCTACAAAGATAATTCAGATTTGTCAGAAGATTCCATATTTACTGCATGTTCAAAGTTATTTTACGCGAGACTACGGAAGCCGTAAAAGGATGGTCATCACTCAAAATCTAAAAATTGATTCTCCATGGAACTTCTTTGGTTGGGTCTCAATAAAATATGTTCTTTCTATAAGTGGTAACCCAACTTATACTCATAGTTCCCTTTCTAAGGAGGAAATTCTCCAAAATCATGTGTCAGTTTTGAATAGTTTTAATATCCCAAAGAACCAAAATGATTTTGAACTACCGTATATACATGTATACTGGATTTCGAAACTTCACAAGAATCCTTACAAAAAAAGATACATAGCGGGTTCCAGTAAATGTTCAACCAAGCCTCGTTCTTTACTCCTTACTAAGATATTAACAGTAGTGAAGGAGAAACTTCAAGAGTACTGTACAACAATATATCCAAGAAGTGTTGTAAATCAGATGTGGATACTTAAAAATTCCAAGAACTTTTGTACAATTTGAAATCACAAGATTTACCAAAATGCAAGAGCTTAAAAAACTTACGACTTTTCAACTTTACAACCATTCCCCACGATGAATTGTAGTCCAGGATTTTCGATATCAGCTGCCTTTTCAATAAAAATGGAATGTTTAAATTTACTTACCTTGTCATTGGTCATTTGCAAAATTTTAAAAACATTTTTATTGTACACACAAGTACTCGGAAGTCGACATCAAAAAGATGCTTGAGTTTCTGATTGACAATATCTATGTTGTTTTTGGAGACCAGGTCTTCCGAAAATCTATTAGAATTCCCATGGGTACCAACTGAGCACCGTCATTAGCAGACCTATTTTTGTTCATATGAAGCAGAATTTGTACAAAATCTTATGCAGTAAAAGACGAAAACACCTGTGGTGGCCCTCAACTCGACATTTAAATGCTAGTGTATCGACGACGTATTGTCAATGAAAAATTGTAATTTCCCTTCTTATGTCAATACGGTATATCCTGGTGACCTTGAGATAAAAGGTACCACAGAGTCCGATACATTTGTTTCATATCTGAGTATTTTACTTTAAAAAGACGTCAATGGTAATCTAACAACCAAGCTCTATGATAAACGTGATGACTTTTAACTTTTCTATTGTCAACTTCCCTTACCTATGCCGCAATATATCTTCATCACCTGCATACGGAGTTTATGTATCTCATTTGATTCGATATGCAAGGGCATGTTCTATGTATGAACGAGGTAATTATTGACAAACAAGTTGATGAAACACGAATATCAGCAGTCGTTTAAAGTTATCATTTCGTTAGTTCTATGGTCGATACAATGACCTTGTCAGCAAATACAATTTATCACAGAGTCAAATGCTGACTGCCTTTTTTCATACTTATTGTAAGACCACTATTTATACACTGAAGTGACGACGGATTTTCCCGTTATTTCCCGATCATGACAACGAGCACACAGCGGTAATGACCGGTCGGCAGGAGATTCTCACTCCTCCGTGGCATTTGATCCCACCTCTGATGTTTTGGGTTCCGTGTTTGCTTTGCTTCTATTTTGTATTGTTTTATGGACTTTTGATCTTGAATATTGTTTGTTATCTCCATATGTTTCATTCCATTATTTACTTTTTAAAAAATCCAACAACATCCAAAAGCTGCATCCCCAGATTCATTTTTATAAAAGTCTGGCCGCTGCATTTATACCGCCAGAATTCTGTGCTGACGGATGGACGGACATCCTGATCGCTATATACCCTCCCACTTTTCAAGTGGGGGTACCGGTATAATTATGCAGCACCTTGAGTAATGTATATATAATTGAAAAAAGAGGGTCAAACTAAATTTCACTTGTTCTACCAAAGTGAAAATTTGAACTTTCTTTCATAGAATTGTGTTTCTGATGGTGAAAAAGTTCATCCATAGATATGAGGTGCCGTTTTGGTATTTACTGCCAAAAAAAATGGAAATGAATAGGTGATATCACCTATTCAAATAGGTGATATCATCAACTGAATAGGTGATATCACCTATTCGAATAGGTGATATCACTTTTTGGCACTAAATACCAGAACGGCGCCCCATACATAGAACACTATAAGCTTATTCTTTTTACATGTTTAGTGTCAGTGCAGTGTACATCACAAGGGCATTATTGCGTGACGCCCTCCATCCACATAAATTAGTTCTCCTGTGATCGATGATGATTGGTCCGACGCTAGAAACAGGATCACCTTGGCAACCTCTTCCGGTTCAACAGCTCCCGTCAGAGGCTGTAGTTCCTTCTGTTTTTCTATGTACTACAACATAAAAACGTTTCTATTATTGCATGCTTGATTAGCCTTCTTTATGAAAATAAATTATCAAAATTCTTCTGCACATCGACAGGACACAACCAATAAATTATTTTGAAAGACGACTGGCTATCGCGCGGGTGGATATGAAGTGTCGAGTGCTGTAGATGTGCAAAAAGAATCTCAAATTTTCCTTTATATACCCGGTATGGGGTAAGTGAAATATGAAGATCACGAACAGTTATCTTGCTCAAAAATTCATCAAAACAATACAGATCAGGAGCAGAGCAAACACATCTAAGATCGGATTAGGTGCCATAGTGGAGTAAGCACCCCTGTCGAGTGGTCACACTAACTGTGTGCACCTGAGTTGATCGGGTAAATTTGATCGGGTAAATCCATAGACAAATCAGTGTAAAAATAATGGCCTAACAATATCTGCATTAGAAACGTCAGTCAACATTTGACTTAGAGATTGTATTTGAAACAAGGTCACAAATCACTACATCGACCAAAGAATTCGCGAAACAACAGTTTATTGTTTTTCTACCAATTGTTCTTCTCTGTTTAAAGCAGTAGGCACAGTGTCTTTTGGAATGTGATTGTCCTGTAGATGTGCAATAAGGTTTTGGAAGTACCTTTTTTAGACGGGGTCACGTGACCCCGTCTATTAGTTTACTGTAGACCCTCAAAAAGGAAGCCGTGGTGATAACACATGAATTAAATCTACGCTATATGAAAGAGTGCAGAAATTGTTTTGATCAAAATATAAACATTTTGTATCAAACTGAAGAAAGTGATATGAGCTTATTTCTAAATCAAATTAATGAAGCATTTTGTAAATGTAAACTCAAAATATTAATTGTAAAACACACTAGTAAACAAAGTACTCTCCTGCGTAGTATTACGACTGCGTACGCATCATCCATTGTTTACTTCCGGAAATATATTAATTCGGACCAGGTGAAATTCGGACAATTCAAAAAGGTTTCTAGACTTACCAATTACTGAAATTTCTACTTCAAATTAAAAGAAAAATGCGATTTTATAATATTCATAATTTTGTTTTTAGCTTGTTAATAATTTTTTTTATCAAAACTGATCGTTACAAAAATCATATTTGTGAAATCTAGCATGAAAACTAATTTGACCCCGTCTTTCAGTACTGTCTCAGTACTTTAATTTATATCATGGGGACCAATGGGAAGAGGATCAGACGTTTTTCCTTAAAAAATATTCCTGGACTTTTGTTACGTTTTATGCACTTTAAATGTATACAGTTTCTTTCGCAATGTGAGTGGTACTTTTTCATGTAAAAGTGCAATAAGGTTTAAGATTTTTCACTTTTAAAGGGAGTCTAGCTGGCCACATATAGGACATTTTTGCTCCAAAAACCACGTTTCCAGTACATCTTACATTTTAAGAAGTAGCCACTTCTACTTTCAGAATATGTTTATTATACCCATTAGATATGTTTTTGAGATTTCGTAATTTTTCATCCTGGAGGTACATGTATATTTTTCATACAATTTTACTTTCAAAAACTCCCTTTCGACAGAACTTATGATTCATTAAATTCTCAAGTTTCAGCCTACTAATGAATTATATTGAATATTCTGTGAAACACACCCATACAAGGAGTATTGCCAACTCAGCGTTAAGCACTAATCAATCAAACATATAAGGCTCATATAGACTCCATGCTCACATGAACATTTAAAGCTCAGTTTGAAACATGAAGACAATCATTTGATACTAGTAAGCATTATTGTTTCTCGACTAGATACCAAGACTCAAGTTCTGGGTACTACACTCTTATGACAGCGTTTGCTATTTAATTATTTTCTTTTTATCTATTAATTTAATACACACTGTATTTTTGTCTAGATACGATGTGACCGTGGATCAAAGATCTTATTTGATTTGATTGATAAAACATCTCATTCTGGATAAAACAACAGGAGAATTTAAGATGCCTACCTGATTGTAGAATTCCTCCGTCATGCCAGCCCTCCTCTGAAATTCCGGCTTGGTGTAAAATGCGGAGGATGGAGTCTCCGCAAAACTCCAAAATGGAGGGTCAGAGAGTGCAAGGGGTAGAGCCTCTTGTGTTAGAAGATGCAGGAGGTGGAGCATAGTGTTGTCGTAAATTTAGCACGTGCTTATTAGATCTGTCATCTCATTTTCTGATACTCCGTGAGAATGTGTTAGAGTGTTACATTACCCAAACAATTAAAAAAATAATTTCATTGAAGTTGAGTGAATGAAACTCAGTTATATCTCGATCCAACCTGATTTTGTGATGACCATTTGACAGTATCTGATGACATTTGTTTATAAAGTCCATAAAATACTATATGAGAAACAAAGAAACAGGCAACAGTAATAAAAAAAAATAATGAACACCACATTTCAACGAGGGGAACAGCTTTGCTGATTATTTAATTTTTAACGATAACGGAGACTGACTGAAACAGAATAGCATCAAAATTATTATCTTTTGGTGATATTATATACAGATATATATAAATAGACTGATATGTATATAAAGGTGTCAAGGAATATCGGCCTCATTACAAAACACCTATTACCATCTGAAATCTGATTGCTGTCGAAGCAATGTCCGATGTTGGAAATGTGCCGTGATGTCATTATTCACTCAGAAATATTATCCCACTTTAGAAAAATTAAAAATAATTAAATAATAGATTCAGTAAATGAACTGATTGTTTTATTGGAGAACTCTGGCCATTAACTGTTTTTCTTTTATTTTATTTTTTTGCTCTAAAAAGAATGAGAAACAAGCATCATGATAAAGAGACAACAAAATGAGAATCGGAATGACCTACAGATATGAGAAACAAATGAGGGGCATGCAGTCCGTGCTTGTGATTTAAATTTTGTTTTGCGATATCACAGATGCTAAGTGCAATGGAAACTGACTGATTCACACTGCTATCTCGCAGTAACCCATGAGGTCTTGACAGATTTTATTAGTATAGGTATCAAATATCTGAAGGGCCAAATGTTAAAATTGCTAAGGGCTAGATTACCTAAACTTCTAGGGAAAGATGACAAAAAATTGTCCCCTCATTTGTTGTTGATATAATTGAAAGTCATGTTATCTTTTTTGTGCTAAATTTCATTTTCAGTTGTAATTTAATTGTATCTTCTTTTTGTGGTTTACACATACAGAAGCTTTAGCAGCTTTTACAGCAATGTGAAATATACTTTTTAATTGTTGATAATTTGCAGACAAAGTGATCTGCATGACATAATTATCTGCAATAAAATTTTTGGGACATACCAGTATCTAGACTCAGTAATTAATTCTGACAGGCACTTTTTATCACCGATGGAGAGCTCTACAAGCAACCCAGTTGTATCCAGCTTCTAAAATGATTGAAAGATAAAACGGGCAAATGTATAAAAACTGACACAAGAGGCTCCACCCCTTGCACTCTCTGACCCTCCATTTTGGAGTTTTGTGGAGACTCCATCCTCCGCATTTTACACCAAGCCTGAAATTCCAGACTGTCGATAACTCCTGGGCTGGAGTGTAATTAATAAGTAGTGTGAACAAGATACACTGTACTAAATTGCAGAATGCGTAACTTATTTGTTTTGGATAAAAATATCTCCTCTTTGTTACTCACTTTACTGAATTAACCCGAACACTATCTTTCACCAGATCTGTAAATAACAGATAATTTACATGACAAAAATGAAAATAAACCCAGGAAACACTACGAGAGTGATTTGTATAAAATACTGACCAACCGCCAGAGTCCTTGTAAACTGGTCCATGGCTGCTTTAGTCATTCCGTACACCATTGCAATCGGAAACTGGGAGAATAAAGTAGTGTCTTTAACGAATACTGGGATTAAAACTGAACATATAGTAGCATGTGCAGCCAGTATATGCTTAACAGTTTAAACTATAGCTCTATCACTTTATGAATACAATAACACTTTAAGTTTAAATGTAAAAACTTACTGAACGTTGTCCCGCAAGGCTTGAGACATTCACCACACATCCTATATAAAATAGCAAACTTCTTATTGGAATCTTGCGAGGGTATATAGTAATCGGTATGTCTGTTCGTCCGTACGTCCGTCCCTTCGTCCGTCTATTACGCTTTGGTGTACCTATCTCTTATCCGCAACTCCTCTTATACCACTGAATGAAATTTGATGTAACTTTGAAAGAATCTTTATTACATATTGCCATTGTGCGCCTCCTATTTTACTCTTTGATCCGACACATATTTTGGGTTTCCCATAGCAAAACATGGACACTGCCATTTTATACATATGGGAGGCGGGGGTATCATTTAGTGAGCTCATTGCTCACAGTACCTCTAGTTCAGTTTAATTCATAACTGAATTTAAGCTTTGATTTTTAGCTGGGCTTATTGCTCAAAGAGCAATTGCCGGCTTATGTCATCCTGTTCAAGGCAGGAAGTCCACCCCATAGTCACCATTTTAAAGTTACGAGTAAAAATATAGTTCTTACTCTCAACCGCTTTTGAGATAATACAAACGCTAAAAGCAACAAAAATAAAACAAAGTTTTATCTATATAAAACATTAGTAGTAATGACTTTGAAAACTTCAGTCCTAAGTCAAAGAACATAGTTCATTAGCGTAAGGATTTTTGATAATTAGTGTTGTCGTAGTTCTCTACACATACGAGGTAAAGCGGGAGAGGGAACCAGACTGGCCTGGAATGTTTACATTCAGCTGCGGTACCAGATTAATTCTGATTCTGACAGAATCGGACCGTGGTATTAGGAACGAAAACTCACTGTCAGTATCTTATCATTTATATTGATAGTTGTAAAATAATTTTTTCATCAGAATATAAACGTTTGATTCATGTAAGAAATTCATTCTACTCTGTAAATGAGCCCGGCTCTCTGTACTTCTTAGTACTTTGATCACCTTTAGTTTTCTTCAAGTGTGTGGTACACAGCTTGGTGAGAAAAAAGGGGGCCCGGATGTTGAGATTAAAGGTAGTATCAAACACTTCCGTTGTTGTTTCAAGATAGTTGACATATTGAGCACTCCCTGCATTGTTTACCTGAAATAAATGTTGAGTTTTTCTGCTTCTCCACTTCAGGAAAGAATTAGTGTTTAATTTAAAATAAATAGGCCTATGTGAATGTTTTTAAATCAAAAATTTATTACCAGTATGTCGATTTGCCCGTATTTATCTATAGCTGATCCAACCAAACCTTTCAGATTCTCTTCGTTCGTGACATCACATCTTTTTACCAATACCTATATCCATAATCAAGAAGAAAAAAATTGACTCATTATATATTCATAACTTATATACATTTCACACATTGGATATTGATGGTGCAGAGCTATTTCTTACCTATTTCTCAACCAAAGGTGACTCTCTGAATACCTCTTCCCTCATACAATGAAAACGATTCTCTATACCACTACATGTATTTCAAAATAGCAGCCAGAACATTTTATTGAAATGCATACGTACTTGTGCTTCTATTTTACTTGCCTTTTCTTGTGGTAGTCCCTTTGCCGTCTATTTTACTTGCCTTTTCTTGTGGTAGTCCCTTTGCCGTCTATTTTACTTGCCTTTTCTTGTGGTAGTCCCTTTGTCGTCTATTTACTTGCCTTTTCTTGTGGTAGTCCCTTTGCCGTCTATTTTACTTGCCTTTTCTTGTGGTAGTCCCTTTGCCGTCTATTTACTTGCCTTTTCTTGTGGTAGTCCCTTTGCCGTCTATTTTACTTGCCTTTTCTTGTGGTAGTCCCTTTGTCGTCTATTTACTTGCCTTTTCTTGTGGTAGTCCCTTTGCCGTCTATTTTACTTGCCTTTTCTTGTGGTAGTCCCTTTGCCGTCTATTTACTTGCCTTTTCTTGTGGTAGTCCCTTTGCCGTCTATTTTACTTGCCTTTTTTTGTGGTAGTCCCTTTGCCGTCTATTTACTTGCCTTTTCTTGTGGTAGTCCCTTTGCCGAGCATTGATTTGCTACATCGTTTAGTCGCTCCTGATTCCGCGCCGCTAAAACTAACCTTGCACCAGTTTTGGCGAATGCAAGCGCAGTTGCAGCTCCTATTCCAGAATTAGCACCTGATATTCAAATAAAACATCGTAGATAAAAAAAAAGTGGAGTCAATATTCGAATTTGAACATGAATATATGCTGTTTTAGAATGAGATAAAAACATAAAGTAAACAATGATATAGAATTCGTCTTTACATGTATAAATATATAACTTCCTTGCTTTTATGTTAAGTGAACAATTCAATCACTGCGCAATGGTCCTGAGTGCCGCCGAGTAGGACACAATTTGCTGCTCTCCACAAGTGGAGGCGTGTCCATATGAGTGAAAAATTCTCGAGAGGGACGTTAAACAACATACAACCAATCAATTGCTTCAGTGAAGCAATGAACTATAGAACTCATTTATGTCACATAAAAATTGCAATAGCTAAAAAACAATAAATAACTGGAGGAATTTCAGCATTTATATCGATACAAAAAATGAAAAAAAATTTACCTGTTATAATTACAACTTTGTTTAAAAGGGAAGCCATTGTCCTAAATGCAGAAATAACGAAGTGCAACACGCTACTTAACGTCTATGTCGACTTCAGGCTTCTCTATTTAATGAGACAAGATTTGTTTTATTTTGCCAAAGCATCTATACTGGAGGCATCCATTACGTTCACAAATAGGACAACATCTGCTGCTTGTCGCGTCATTGACCCACTGGGTGATTAGTTGTAAAGATTATGAGGCATAATTTTCTACCTCAGGCGTAGTTTGGGAACCTAGTTTTAATCTTTTTTTTTTGCATCTGGTACTTTTTCGTCCACCACTGTAAAATACTTGCAGTGAATACTGTTACCTTGACACATATCTAAATTCTTTGTACTCATAACCAGAATGTCTCAGTCAGTATATGCATCTTCAAACTAAGATTCATTTCCTTTGTGAAAAAAACTATACAAAATAATGTGGTGACGAAATATTTAGTTTAGTTTAGCAAAATGTCTCACTGTAATTCTGGCATTTTCAAATACTAGTATCATGCTGCACACATCATCTGTATTTTTGATGCCTCTACAAATCTAGCAGTTGGTTCGAATGCAGTCTGCTTTACTCTCCCTTTTTACTGTTGATTTCCTGAGATCATATACATACAAGTTTGGTTTCATTAGGACTTGCATTTACATGGGAACAAACCTGCTCCAAAAACTTAATCCTGGTCACTCATCTGGAAAAAAATATTTGTGAAACTCAGCATCAAAAGCTGGTCTGGAGTGTCCATAGGTAGATACACAATCCATGTTTATTTGGTTTAAGTATGGCTAAAATTCATTCATCTGGAAAATACAATTCAGATCCAGCATCCGAAGCAAGTCTGATAATGTGCATTATCCATGCATGTTTGATCTTAGTAGGGCGTATAGTATCTTGTGAATAGACTTCTCCAAAAATCTAAACCTGGTCACTCATCTGGAAAATACAGAAAATGTAGGTCAAATTCAGCATCCACAGCAAGTCTGGTAGTGTGTATACCTAGAGGCATCATCCATGAAAGTTTGGTCTAGAAGGACATATATTTTTTTGGGATGGATCAACACCTAAAACTTTCTTCTGGTCACTCATCTGTAAAATATAAGTTGAGTCCAACATCTGAAGCAAGTCTGATAATGTTCATCTCTAGATACACCATCCACGAAAATTTGGTCCAGGTAGGACTTACTTGGGAATGGACCTGCTCCTAAAACTTTTAACGCCGACACCAACACTGTGGTAATAGCTAAGCTCATCTGGACTTCGTCGAGGTGAGCTATACTAGTAAATAAAATTTGTTTAAAAATGATTCCTAGATATAAATAAAATGAATATATTTGCAAGACTTTTATCTTTTTCTCTTATTTTGTATATTAAACATGAAGCGATGTCAGGAAGAAAAAAACAAAGTTAAACCTAAGTAAATGATGCAGTTCTTTATTAATAGTTGTTTGTGACAAAGTCAACTTTATTCGAAGTTAAAATAAGCTTAATTGTAAGCAACTGCCTAAAACAATAATGCAATAAAGTGTACATACATAGAAATAACACTATTTTGATTTTATTATATCACTCAAATGTAATCAATAAACATTTAAGCTACCATTCACTGCAAATTGCGGAAAGATATTACGGAACTATTTTAAGATAAGATTCCGGTTACAAAACAAACTGAACTGAACAAAGATTCTGGTTGCAAAACAAAAGTAGTTGAAATTCTGATATCTTATATTATCGTCTATTGGTAGCTAATGACACAGTCTCTTTACACAGGTGCCTTGGCATGGCGCCCTCCATCCACAAAGATAAGTTCTCCCGTGACCGACGACGATTGGTCAGAGGCTAGAAACAAGATCACCTTGGCAACCTCTTCCGGTTCAATGGCTGCTGTCAGTGGCTGTAATTCCTTCTGCTTTTCTAAATACTAAACGTTTGAATTTCATTCAACAAAAGCATGCATTTCCACTAAAATTTAAACACACATCAAGAGGGAAGTTTTTGGAGGATTCCACATCCTGAGGGCTTAAGTTACAGGTATTTTAAAACAAGTGACAGATCATGTGACGTTAAAGGAACAAGCTATACGAACGATTCCGCATAAAAGACCAGAAGACAAAAGAAAGAGGCATAATTAATAAAAATAAATAAATAAATAAATAAAAAATAAAAAAATGTATCTTTTTTTTGGGGGGGGGTGTTTTTTGTTTTGTTTTTTTTTTTGTTTTTGTTTTTTTTTTTTTGGTTTTGTTTTGTTTTAATCCAATGGAAGACCTTGCAAACATATTTTCTAAATCCTAGCTAATCAAAATGAAACAGTTGATTGACAGATTGATTTTTTTGAAATCCTTCTTTAATTGTAAAGGAAATCAATAGGTCAGAATCATTCTCAAAAAGAAAGAGGCAAAGTTTTGTCAAATCAATCAGAAAGGAATTAGAGTCTATTAATAATAATTTGTAGGAACACAGTACGAGAAAATATAACAATCTGTTTGGGAATCATGTTTGTGATTGGAAGGTTTTGAAGAAAGTGACCCAACATAAGATCTAACCTTACTGTAGGCTTCCTCTGTCATTCCTGCTCGCCTCTGAAATTCCGTAATAACAACTCCAGGACTGAAAATAAATTTACACCAGGCATATAGACAATCTATGAAAAATTTGTTTAATAGTTACCAGTGTTCATGCAAAATTCAAATCCTTAGAATATTTTTTTTAAACTTACTTGACGGAATTGACCCGAACCTTTTCTTTTGCCAAATCTGTAAATGGGGATATTGTGTATTGGAAATGTAAATCAAAAATAAGAAATGGCGGTAGGAAAAAAGATTAGCCAAATTAACTGACCGATAGCTAGAGTCCTCGTGAAGTGGTCAAGGGCTGCTTTGCTCATACAGTATGACATTGCCATTGGAAACTAGAGAGAAAAGAAAAGTTTACCAACATTTGTTGTACCAAATAGTTAATGATTTGTAAGATAACGTACGTCCAATACAGCTAAGACATTTACAATAAATGTGAACAAGATAACTAAACAAAAATTTAAAGGTTGTTTTTATTTCAGTGCTCACACATTGACAAAAAAATTAAACGTTCAAATTGTTAAACTTACTGATCTTTGTCCCGATATACTGGAAACATTAACAACGCACCCTGTAAAGTTAATAAACATATTATACCATTACAAAATTAACCAAAAATAATTACAAAATGTTCTTTTCAACAGAATATCAGAATTTTCTGTTTTTGTCGGCACCTTGTGTCTTCTTTAGATGTGGGACACACATCTGGGTCAGTATGAATGGTGCTCGGACATTGATGTTGAAGATTTCATCGAACACTTCCGCGGACGTCTCCAGAAAAGGCACGTATTTACCACTACCAGCATTATTTACCTGCAATTCAGTTTCATTAAAGATAAAAAATTACTAAAAGCGAGACATTTTCTTTCAAAATGAGTGAATTTATAGATAGTTGTTTTGAAAGTTTAATAATGCAGGTATTTCACTTTTGAAATCAAGAACTAGGGATTAAAAAAAAATACTTAAAAAGAACATTTTGTTTTGTATATGACTGTTCCATATTATTTTCTTATTTTGCAATAATTTCATAAATAATTTAAGACTGTCTTGAAAATCATCCATCTGAATCCTGACTGTGATTTGCATTTAAAAAACCTGACCAAAAATTACGAATATGATCGGATACATTTTTAAATGATTTATGAAAATGTGGGTAGAAGGGATATTTGCGTATTTTTTCCAGCTATGGTCCTGTTTGTCTCATTTGTTGTTTAATAATGGGTGTAAACTTGCAGTTTTGAGGCTTTTTGGGAATATATCCCTGTTGATATTCTAACTGAAATTGATTAAATGAGTGACTGGTTTATATTTGACTTGTGCAGAGTGTTTTACAAGACGTGGATCAATAGTATCAACACCAGTGGTCTGATTTACATCAAGTTTGTATAGTGATAACACTTCAGTTTCACGGAGAAGGGGGTTACCAAACCCATCATGTCCAAGTTTCGTTTACTTACCAATACGTCGATTTGACCGTATTTTTTCACTGATGAATCGATTAAACTTTTCAAGTTTTCTTCGTTTGTGATATCACAACCTTTCACAAATATCTGGAAAAGTAAAAATAAAATATATTTGTATGAAAGTTACAGGAATTCACCAGTAAAATTGATTACATGTATTATAAAATTTAGCTGTACAATTTAGGAACAATTAGATGTGACTGTGCATGTATAATTACACAGCACTATGTTACAAACGAATCACAAGATTACCTTCATTTTGCCACGATCTGTTTTCCGAATTATTGTGTATATTATGTAGAATTATATTTATATTATATACGCAGAGAAAAGAACATGAATGTTATCATATAAGTACTCACTTATGAACGAGATTCGTTGGAAGATATTATGCATTTAGAAGTGACTTTGAAAATGCTTTAGACGGCAATTTCATTCATACGCTTTTATAAAGCTTCTACAATATACGAGGGTTGATCCAAAAGTAATGTCACAGTGTCCATATCTTTTATATTTGGCGTCATATTATCAAATACGATGCACAAATATAAATCTAATTAACATTGAAATTTTAATTAAATAATGTTTATTTGAATTTATTTTATAGATGTTTAAAATATAGAGCATAGAGGGTGTCGCCGCGTCACAACGGAACGTCACGCTATAAAGTGTATTTTTTCTTAGAATAAAAAAGACAAGCACATTAAAAAGTTTCTAAAAAAGCACTTAATCTCCCAATTTTTTAAAAGACACAATTCTCGCCATTTTCTAGTCTGTAATTGAAAATTAAATGACGGCATTGGTATTTGTGATCATAAACATTGTAGTTTTACTCTGTTGAATTGAACAAAGGAATTGTCGAAATGAGAAAAATCGGCTCGAAGAGTTGTAATGCATTTTTGCTTCAAAATATGGAAATCATCACAAGCGACAGTTACATTAATTAATCAGACTTACAGAATAAAGAATGTAAATAAGAGACATCTTAATAGATGGTTTCAGCAATTTTGGGTGATTGGTCACTGAATGATCAGCAGAGGACAAGAAGACCGAAAGATAGGAGATCGGACGGAAACGTTCAATGGTGTCTGACGTTGTCAAAAAAGACAGACGTATAGAGTGACATGTGAATTTTTAAGTTTGTCT